CACTCGGCACAAATCTGTAGCTTTCGAAATTAGCTTCATCATCTCCTATAATTTATTTACCCATAGTGGAGAATTAGAATACCATATATCGTCGTCGAATCTGCGTTGTCCCGTGTTTTTTTAAACAGATGGCAATTACTGTAGAATACTTTATTTTCGCTATTTTCGCTGAAGGGATGATTCAGTGAAAATAAAATCCAGCGAATATACTTTTTTTCCTATATTTCACATTAAACTTATCAAAAATCAGTGAAAATAAATTCCATACAAAACGCCCTAAAAGCCTTTTCAGCAAAAATTAATTCCAGCGAAAATAAAGTATTCCACAGTACCCGGGTGCACTGCAATTTTTGTCAGCTGCCGCTACCGGACACTGGTTGTTATTTGTGGCATACATTTTTGCCTGTGACTCATAGTTTTTTGCATTTTTATGTCATTAAATCCTTCAAGTTTTCTTTGTTGGAAGTTCGCAATCCATCCCAAAGTAACAACACTGAGAACACAGCGTTCTGGCGACCGTGTAGGCACCTCACGGTGTTGAGGGACGGTGGTTAGTAGGTTTGTGTGGCGAACGACAATCACCCAACGACCGACGCTCACAACTTGGACCCCACCATTAACAAAAAGCAATATTATAGTTATATAATTTTTCAGATGTTTTTAATTCAGTATTTTTTTCAATATTCTTCCAAAATTCAACGACTATATTTCCTTAAAAATCAAATAATACCGGTTTTATATATTTCCGTATTAAATCTGTAGTCAATTCATGTTCCAAGGCCACTTGGTTTAGCCGTGCATTATCAGCCAATATACCATGGATTGCATATGCAAATTTTATGTTTGGACCAATCAAATCAATGGATTAACACCATCAATATACTGGTATAATATAATACTCAATAATCAATAGTCTTAATGATTGCATATCCCCACAGTATTCTACATCTATTGATCGGATAATATTTGTTCAAACATTTTACATTATATTAAAACTGGTCCGCTAAGTTGATAGCATTCAAGTCAGCATAATAACAAATATAATAACAAGCCGGTAGGCTGGTTGACGAACTGCTCCGCTCAAAACAGCAGCATGTTTTGGTTGTTTCCATGGTAAGATATAAACGTGAAGCTAAGGTCGGTTTATAACTAAATGGACCCCGTATAAGAAGTTCGAAAAAAACATTCAGTCTTTAGAAGTCACTTAGATTATTACTAGAACGTATTCTGCCGTTACATTTATTATTTCCAACCGTTTTGCGATAGTATTTTCTAGAATGAAGGCAGCATTTACAGTTCATTCAAAGTTCAAAGTTGCGTTGTGATTACGTTGATACAGTATAACAATATCGGCACCGGTGATCTTCTACCAGTGCCCAACGTAGCCAAAATAAAAAAGCATGATCATTTGAACACTGATATTACAAAACTGGTAGGAGGTAATACATTTGGGGCGAAAGTATTCAAAAATCAGTTTTCGATGTTGCAATGGCAGTGGTGGACCAGGATTTTTTTCCAATTAGTGACGGTACAAAATCAGCCGAGTCAAAAAAATCACAGTGAGTTAAAAGCAAATTTCAAATTTCTCGGTAATGAAAAAAGATATCAAAAATTTAAATAGTAACTTTGTGCCCACACTCAAGCTGAGTAGAATGAGCTATGTCTGAAGTTTTTAATCCTAAAATTGTAAGAGGAGATACATTTGGCGCGAAACTATCCAAAAATCAGTTTTTTGGGCTGTTGCTATGGCAACGGTGAGCCAATTTTTTTTCCAGATTTTTTCTAATAACTAGGGTGAAGGTGTAACCTTCCTGACAAGTTTGAGCGAAATCGGATAAGCTAAAATATCACAAAAAAAAATAATACGTAAAAACACTGGAAATCACACATACACAACGACAAAAGTGATTATAAGGGCAATCCTAGCGGAGCGGATCGCCAAAATTTATAACTCACAGCATGTCTACCAGTCATCAACATATTTCTGGATGGAAGGCAATGGCTCGCCACGTAGTAATTCAGAAGTTTCACCCCATTACCGGCAAGCCTGTCGATGGTAGGTGTCTTGAATACGGGATTATTATAACCAACGTCATTCCATCCGAGATCATCTACAACTATAAAAATAATATGAGGAGGCTTCTCTTGGCCCACTGCATTACCTGATACCAACAGGAGCAGAAAAGAAACGACAGTATTCATCTTTCCCAATCGAATGAATACACACAATATTTTCTCAATGTGTATATCACATGTATTCAAAATATGATTGGTTGTTATGAATCTATTAGTAATGACGTCGGTGCTGACCAATTATGGATTAGCTGAAAAAAATTTATACAATTTAATTTTTATTTTTCTGTGACAAATGGTAACACTCATGCGATATATTTGGGTTAAACATTTAATTCAATGTATTTACTTGTCATTTAGCATTAATAATATTCAATAAAAACAATGAACGCACGAATTAGGAGAATAAATATAATACAATATCCGTGTTATTTATTGTGTCTATTTCATTGTGTGTATGTATGGAACACACTTTCATGATTCCATGATATTTCCATGATTGACTGTCAAACAACATACACTATCGTACATCCAAATGTATAACTTTGTCAATATCAATAACTATAATTATGATTCGCGGAAAATATCAGACCTTTCTTTGAATAATAATAAGCTTTTTACTTTTGTAGATTTTTGTAGGATCTGTTAAATACGTGAATTCATTCTGTTTCATTAATTAAATTTTGAATTGATTTTAGACAACCTGTCAATAGAGGGCGCATGTCAAAATCAAGCAGTTCAGTGATATAATACTAGTCTTTACTAGACTCAAACATCCGACAATGTACAACACACACTTACATAAGGTAAGGTTCATGTCAGGTGCGGCCACGTATGTGCAGTCGGTCCGGCGAACCATTTATTTAACAAAACACACTAATAAAGCCGACTAAAACGGCTGCCATGCATGTAGTGTTCAAGTGTATAGATTGAAAAAAAAACTAAATGCGGAAACAAAATAACTTGCATGGATTGAGAAAAAAAAATCGATCATTGGTGCTCGGCGAATGCTACTTACATTACACGATCAAATAAACATTTAAAATAACTGACAGAAACATTGATAAAAAGCATCCCGTTACTGGCACGCCGACCGCCCAGGAAACCTGTACACGTCGCACTGTCGAACGTGCCCAGGGGAAATAGCGGATGTCGCGCTATATTATACAACAAGTATTAATAAACTTACAAAACAAATCAATTGAAAACTGCACAGTAGCGAAACTGGCCTACACTGAAATTCAACCTTCCTCCACTTATAATAAATACCCCTTGCCATGCGACCCACATACCATACCCGTCTGATTGCCATCCAGAACAGACAATAGTTAACCGCTATACTGCGAAACGCGGTTAACAAAATTTATGAGTAGGCTATTTTTGACAGCCGTAATCATGCAAATAATTAAATAAAGTGCATTTTAAAATGATTAATATAATTAACTTGTAACATTAGACAAGAGTATACCACAAAGCCGAAGTTATAAAATCATTCCTTTGTATGACTATTTTGGTGCTGCATAATACATCCAAAAGCTGTCAATAGACATACAGTTTCTAGCGGTTTCTCATGGCAAACTATTTTCTTCACATGATGTTATTATTTCTGCTAAGCGTGTTATTTATAGGTTTATAACAAAGTAGTCTGAAAAGATAAATCATTCTACGCTGGAGTAGTTCAGTTGTCCTTAAACATAATATTTTGCGTTTATCAACATAATGACGACCCAACGTACAGAAAATATTTCCACACTGATTCAGCAATTGTATAATTATAGTCAAAAGCAGGCTTTTCAACCTCGTGGTATTCCACAGTGTACAACAGATCGCACATGCTGACCAGTTTTTGCGTGCAGAAAATTGGGACATTGAAATAAATCATGGTCATTGTTTCAGTCGCAAGGAGATGCTCAATAAATGACAACATAACATGTAAATAATGTAAGTTACCTGTCATGCTTTAATTACGTGTTGCAATCTGACTCGTCAACAGGTAATATGCTCATGGGAACATTTTTGAGGTAAACTGGTGCTAATTATTATGTTTTGAACGTGGTAAAAGGTAAAAGTTACTTTTTACTAAGACTCCGTCATATGCGATTTAGCCTAACAATAATTCAGCAAAGGAGATAAGCAAGCTGCTTAGTTACGGCTGTATTACGAAGTTACAGAATTATACATGTTAACTAATCCTTTAACAGCTGTATTTAAGCGCCTGTTTTTACTGGACTGCCTGATATTCAATTCGTATTTGTTAGAGGATACATTTTGCTGATGTATTTGAATAGTTACATGATGTACATAAATATATTTGATTGAGTCAGTGGAGATTTTTTGGGATCATTAGTGTTTCTTTGGATTTTGGATTCCTTGGAAAGTTGTGCAAATATCGTGTCTTCTGTGGTGGTCTCTTTTATTTCCATTATAGTACCGTATCAGTTGTCTCACTATAATTGGTTAGGGTAGGATCGTGTGGTTGCGCGCCCATGGCATCAAGATTGTGTAATCATTTAACCATGAAACCAGATTCGCGTGGCTAAGATGGAGATAACCCGACGAGTTCGTCGCATGTTACTTGGTCCTTGGTACGCACAGGTAACCAGCATGTGGTTAGAATACTGCAGGAAGGCAGTAAGGTACCTGAGCTACCGGAGATAACATTACTGAACGTCTGGGGTCGCACCTAATCCTGTCCCGGACTGGGTATCGAGAATAAAAAATGAAACCCAAATATGCAAAAGTAGCTATAGTGATATATGAAGCTTCAATGTGAATATAATTCTATTTAATATTTCATGTAGTATCCTTATTTATAAGTGATCGAATTGCTCGGATCTTGTTAATTTCGTATTATATTAGCAACGAATATGTGCCGGTGACTGTCTTGCTTAACAGTAGCTTGGCTGGGCCATCAATCGGATATGCAGGAACATATGATGTATGTATCTGCTGACAGCGAGTCCATATAAGCTAATATTTGGTGAGTGCATATGACCGTCTGTGGTCGCACGTAGTCCCAGAGATGGCATGAGAAAGCAGATATGCATAGTGAAAATAGCGTAAATATATTTAATGTACTTGATTCCAAGTAGGATTTTCATTCACGAGTAATCGAATTGCTCAGATCATGTTTATTTGCATGTTTTACATCCGCCATACTTAAATATAAACTACTACTAGACGAATTGTTTACTTTAAGTTAATAGTCAAGTTATAATGCATGTCAAAAATATACATAAAACCAGAATAGTATTGTCCGGTTGAATTGGTAGAGTTGAAAATAGATGGTGGGATACACATTTCCACTTCATAAAATATCACAACTTGCATTAGGCTTTTATTGTCTTTTATGTGTGCAACGCAGAGATAAAACAATTGTTGTTCGCAAATTGTCAATATATTTTTTTTTTCAATAAAATATTATTTTACTACTAAGAGTATTAATATTAAAACCAAATGTAAGGCTGATGTTATCACTCCCAGACACTCATTTACGGGCGATAGTTTTGACGTTGTACACAAAAGGAAACTTCACTATTTGTGACGGTCATGATAATGAGTAAACGACAATAAAAAATAATCCATGTTTGTGATGCTACATGTGACAAACGCATGGTGTTCAGGACTAACATGTGTCACGAATTCTAATGAAAGGCGATATATGCGATTAATTGATCAGATAACAAACGTGTTTGTGTGAATAGTTCATTGAAATGTCAGTGTATACGTATTGAATTGACAAAAATATGACAAGCACACTATACAGTTTAACTGGCCGTGTCGGTTCCCTGCTATATTTGACCGAATTTTATAATCCTAGCTCTGATGCAGCAAATAATTACTTTTCATTAATAGGCCACACAGACTGTGTGATTAAAATTGCAAAATGATTACTATAAAGCGTGTGATGTGTTGAAGACATTGTTCTGAAATAAATTAAAATGATAGTTCACTGTAAACGCTGTTAATCACCTATAATACCGCATATATCATTATGATGTTATTTTAATAACTTAAAATTGTTAGATAAGTGTTGATATGATTCTATAATCGACTATTAAGTCCAAAACTACCAAAAATTGAATATAACTTTATAAATATAAAACGAATTCACTCGACCGTACCAGGATAAATGTATAGGAAAAAACACAAGCAGAAAATTAGTCATGTAACTGATGCAACAATTGTTTGATAACATTGACAAGTTTAGGGTTTCATTGGGCCTGGTTGTTTGGAATAAATGTTCAAATGATCAATATAATGTTATGATGTAGATACAACGTTGCATTCAATAAACGCATAAAGTCATTAAAAATATCAGTGTAAGCATTCAAGTTATTTTCAAAATATTAGTAACAGAAATGTTTCAAAAATATAAAAAAGATGTGCTAATAAAAAAAAACTACCATTACTTTAAATTAATGCTACAAGGTCCCAAAGACACGCTACACATACATTATGTTGATTGATGCAAATTTAAACAGTAACTACAATTCAAAGCGTTGGTTTCAATTGAGTGCATGCAGTTTTAGAGAATGAGGTATGCCGTGAAATACATCGTGGGTGATGAACAGCCGTTTTTAGGTAGATGAACTGAATGCTTTTCGCCAGTGTATGCAGACGAGCTTTTATAATGGCTAGTTCAATTTAAATCTCCAACGTCACAAACAACGTATAGAATAGACTATACACAAATACAATCGAGTTTAATTATGTAATCTGTATCGAAATAGTATTGGTAATTAAATATAAGACATACTAACCTCGTGATGGGCGTATGACGTTGATATTTTAAAACATTGAATGATAACAATATTAATATTAATATAGTGGAAGCTATTGTTTGATTAATTAACACAATATATATTAACATTGACAGTAACTAAATGTGACCTGTTCTATATGTCAAATAATTTGATTCGGAAAGGTGACAGCGCCACCAGATAACTATAAAACAATCGAAATGTTATCATTGTAAACACTAGACGGCGTGCATTACTCGTACATGAATAGAATGTAGCAAATATATACATATACAGCTAAGCCTTGTTTATTATAGAAATATAAGAAGTACACAAGTCGCGATGGACATAGTAAAATAATTCGGTATTTCGTATTCGATATTTCTC